GTCCTCTGCATTTCTCCTTTATAAAAAACAATTATTCAGGATTAGCTTTGGTCATTGTCATTGGCATCCCTACCATGAAAAAGAAGGAGAGTGCTTAATCACAGTAGTCAGGTTTCATTTCTTTCAGAGGGGGGTTTTGCCTTTTTGTTAGGGTCAGATTAAGACAACTTTTGACTAAATTATGGGAATCCAATCCAATTGAATTGCCTCTTTTCCCCTAAAAAGACGCAGATATTCGGTGAGAGTGTGGTCTTTTCTGAACCTGCCTCCCAATAAAAAAGAGCTGCTTTTCAGCAATTTCTCTCCCTTTTTTGTCCCTCAACGGATCCCTCTTCTGCATTTCATTAAACAGCTCTTTGTCTAATGGGTGCTAATCAAACAGCTCAATGATCAATCATTGTGTACTCTAGAAGATTTATATCCTACTGTGTAGCACAATGATGACCATGACATTGTCACGTGAATGCAGCTGCTTTGACCCACTGTAGTGTTGAATGCAAGAGAAGGAGTCTCTCGTGAAAGTTTTCATGACGAGCCCCAAGTTTTTCTCAACTGAAGTTTGTCTTTTCTTTCGGGAATAGACTGGGCTAAAAATTAGATGTTAAAGATAATGTATCTATGTTCCTTTTACCAACAAGAATTCTGATTTTCCTCATTTGGGTCTTTTTCAAGTAATTAAAAACTAAAGGACAATAACTTCCCTGTCCTCATTTTTTATTTTTTTTTGGTCAGACCCTGTCCTCATTTAAGTATTGTATTTTAGTACTTTTGGGCACTCTGTCTTCTGACACTGATATGCCTAGCATTTATTTAACCCAAGCCCAAACCAAACCTATGGTAAGAGACTGGTTGTATGGTACAAAAAAAGCTGAGAGACGATTGAGTCCTTAATATTCATCCTTTGGATGACTATAGGATGAGTTTTTGACCAACTTAAACTGTACTTACCAATCTTAATGGGTGAAATTAGTAGTCTCTATTTACATTTAGCTCTCTCTACGTGTACCTGAGCAGTTTTGAGAGCTTCGAGAATCGCCTTGTACACAGGTGTGAAGTGAGGAGGCAACTTTTGAGTCCTTCAAAGACACGAAAAAGCCTTCACTTGTCATAAATCAGAAGAAAAAGGTCATGCCTTTAAACACAACCATTGTCTTTTCCATCTCTGTCTAGTGTCTCGCTGCACCTGCAATTGTCATCTCAAACTTTATCTGATAAATCCTAACAAAGATCTACGCTCAGTTGTCTATACGTACAACTACACTTTGGGAGGGTTATGCAAGATTACTGGCATACAGTTCATCCTTCCAATGTCACAACTCTAGTCCTCCATTACATACTCAAATGTACCTACCTCCGTTGTGCTTCATTTTGATGCTTGAGCAGTACTTTCCTGGCAAGAACTTAGTTCATTTAGGCCTTAGAAGGACCAACCTGACTATAAATAACAATACCAGTCAAGAAATTAATCCCCGTACATTGACAATGCCCTTTTAAGATATTATTTGAAGCTTAGTCTGTTATTCCGATGATTTTCTTGGTGTTAGCCAGGTCATCCCATCACTTTCGTCCCATTAAATGAGAAGGCATAGTCGAGCAAGAGTCGATTACACCATATCTGAAATGGAGGGAAAAAAAGGAATCAACTAGTTTAACAGAAGCAGTTGAATTGTGTTCAATCAAGTACTCGTAATATTGTGTCCTCAGATCGAAGGTTGCCAAAATATATCGTTGCAACTCCTCTTCTGTGCAGCAACAGATTTGAGGGAATGAACCCTTTGCGTGAAGTCCGAAATGTCCAAGCTTTCTCGCTTGCTCAGTAGAAATGAGCGCAAGCATTTTTTTAAAGATAAAAAGAAATTTCACTCATCCGTTCTGAAAGTAAGGAAATTCTGCGTCGGCGAGCAAAAGAGAGAAAAAAGAGAGCACCACACGAGGTCCAATCACTTTTTATGTTATCGATATCGACGAATTCATGCAACGTTGATAGCCATAAAAGTGTTCAAAATGCCAGTTTGAATTAGACACCGAAGCAGAATGATGGGATTCTCTTCAGTAAAAAGCAGAAAAAGAAAGGAAGAGGTGCCATTCCACGTATAAAACCTTTATGCCCTAATGGCAGACATAATCCAAATAAACTAAGAACCAAGAGGTCCACTTCTGTTCCTAAAAGTAAACTCAATATTCTCAATTTCAACTAATCATCAACGTCACTCCCTCCTTTTATGAACCAACTTTTCTCTATTCCCCATGCACCACTCACCCAAAACCAAACCAAAACAAAAAAAAAAAGGTGAAGTTTGTGAATTTCACCTGACATATTAAAAAAATTTCCCATTCTCCACTGAACTTTCACTGGGATTTTCTTGTGTTGTCCCTCCATTTTGCTCACTGCAAGTACCAATGGAGATTTCCCATTTTCTCTGCCTTCACCTTCTTGTCACCCTCATGTTCTTTGAGCCAGCTTTGTCTGCTGATGCAGATGTATACTCAGAGGCTCTTTTGAGTCTGAAAAAAGAGCTTGTTGATGACCAGAACAGCTTGAGTGACTGGATCTTGAGCCCTGGAGGTCAAACCTCACCAGACAAAGTGACTGCATGTTCTTGGTCTGGTGTTTCTTGCAATGAAAACTCCACATCAATCTTGGGTCTTGATCTATCCAAGAAAGGCCTTGGTGGTGAATTATCTGGGAAGCAATTCAGCGTCTTCAAAGAGGTGACTAGTCTTAACCTCAGTTACAATTCTTTCTCCGGGCAGCTTCCCGTGGGAATTTTCAATCTTTCTGGGCTGAGAACTCTAGATATCAGCAGAAACAACTTCTCTGGTCACTTCCCTAGCGGAGTCTCTGGTCTCAGAGACCTTGGAGTGCTTGATGCATTTAGCAACAGCTTCTCAGGCCCAGTACCTGCTGAGATCTCCGGGCTCGAACATCTCAAGGTCCTTAATTTAGCTGGTAGTTACTTCAGTGGACCAATTCCATCTGAATTCGGCTCGTTCAAGAGCCTCGAGTTCATACACCTTGCTGGGAATTACCTGAGTGGGAAAATCCCACCAGAACTAGGGAAGCTTCAGACAGTGAGTCATATGGAGATTGGGTACAATTCCTACGAGGGAAGCATCCCGTGGCAATTGGGCAACATGAGCGCAATCGAATATCTAGATATCGCAGATGCGAACCTATCTGGGCTGATCCCGAGTGAGCTTTCCAATCTCACCAAGCTTCAGTCCCTTTTCCTCTTCAAGAACATGTTCACCGGATTGATTCCAGGAGAGTTCAGCAGAATGATCTCCCTTGCTGACTTAGATCTTTCGGATAATCTAATCTCGGGTCCGATCCCCGAGAGCTTTTCGGAGCTGAAGAATCTGAGGTTGCTGAGCCTGATGCGTAATGAAATGAATGGTACTGTTCCTGAAGGTATTGCTGCCCTTCCATCACTTGAGACCCTCCTCATATGGACCAATTACTTCACCGGGTCACTTCCAAGCAGTTTGGGGAACAACATGAAGCTTAAGTACATTGATGTCTCCACCAACAGCTTGGTAGGTGCTGTTCCACCTGATATCTGCTCAGGAGGTGTTCTATTCAAACTGATCTTGTTTTCGAATAAATTTGAGGGCAGTCTTCCTCCGTCTCTCACGAACTGTTCTTCCCTCGTTCGTCTTCGGGTCGAAGATAATTCATTATCAGGGGAGATCTCTCTGACATTCAGCCTTCTTCCTGACATAACGTACATAGATTTATCGAGGAACAATTTTATTGGTGGAGTGCCTGCAGATACATATCGAGCTTCAAACCTCCAGTACTTCAACGTTTCCTACAACTCGAGGCTAGGAGGATTCATCCCAGAAGGGATATGGTCTTTGCCATTTCTTCAGAATTTCTCAGCATCCTCTTGTAATATTTCTGGGAACATTCCTTCATTTGATTCATGTGAATCAGTTTCAGTCATTGAGCTGAATGGTAACAAGTTATTCCAATCACTCCCCAAAAGTGTTTCTAGATGCCAGGCTCTCGAAATGGTCGACCTGAGCAACAATCACCTGACAGGCCTTCTACCCAAAGAGCTCGCAAGTCTCCCTGCTTTAAGGGCTCTCGACCTGTCGCACAATAATTTCACTGGTCCTATACCGGCAAAACTTGGTGATCTTTCGAGTTTGCAATACTTGAATGTGTCTTACAACGATTTCACCGGTTCAATCCCCTCGGAGAAGGTGTTCAAGTCAATGGATGGAAGTGCCTTTGCTGGAAACGCGAGACTATGTGGAGAACCTTTGAGGCAATGTCCTAGTTCAGTGGTCATACTGGGAAGCAAAGGCACAGGCAAGCTTATGCTGGTTCTGCTACTATGTGTGGGAATAATCGTTTTCATTGCGGCATTAGCTTTCGGGTTATTTTATTTCCGGAAAGGAAATAAAGGCCGGTGGAAAATGGTTTCCTTTGGTGGGCTCCCTGGATTTACAGCTAACGATATTCTGAAAAGCTTCAGCTCTGCAGAGTCCATGGAGTCAACAACTTCCCTACCTGCCTTGGTATGCAAAGCCGTTTTGCCCACAGGAATCACCGTGTTAGTGAAAAAGATCGAATGGGATGCAAAAAGAATGAAGGCCATGATGGAATATATCACGAGAATGGGCAATGCAAGGCATGTGAATTTGATCAGGTTGCTAGGTTTCTGTTACAATAAACAGATGGCCTATCTGTTGTATGATTACCTGCCAAACGGGAATTTGGCTGAAAAGACGAGAATTAAGAGGGACTGGAGTGCAAAGTACAAAATTGTGATGGGTGTTGCAAGGGGCCTTTGTTTCCTCCACCATGATTGTTTTCCTGCTATGCCTCATGGAGACTTGAAGTCGAGTAATGTGGTGTTTGATGAGAATATGGAACCGCGTTTGACTGAGTTCGGACTCGCTTATCTGGTCCGGATGAACAAAGGTTCAGTGGGAGGAACAGTTTCTTACCAGGAAGCAGGTAAATTGAGCTAAACATTATCCTCACATAGTACATGCATTGGATGTTAATGTTATAGAATACTCACGTTTGACAAAGTTGATTTCCGGGTGTTAACCGAACGAAATAAGCCATCTACAGAAATTTCGAATTGACCATATCTTAGAGAATGCCATTATGCACCAAGGACCTAAGTTTCTGTACAGATAGGTGCGTCATATGATGACGACTTGTGGAATCAAAAGCTTTTAGTTCATCTAGAGTAACGATTCTTTTGTGATCAGAAATGGAATATTAATCAGAGCACACTCAGATACATAATGGACATTTGAATCAAACTAACAGCGGGTGGATACCATCTGCAGAATTCTCTTGGCTTTTTTTCTTTTCATTATCTCGACCCTGCATCAAATTGATTCTTTTCTCTGTTCTCGTTTGATGACAGATAACAATGCCACACGGGAGCAGCTCCAAATGGATGTTTACAACTTTGGGGAGATCATTCTGGAAGTTTTGACGAACGGGAGGTCAGCAAACGCGGTGGGAAGCATACGGAGCAAGCCAAGGGCCGTTCTTGTGAGGGAAATCCTTGCAGAGAATGATGTCGGTACCGATCGCTCATTGCAAGAGGAGATAAAATCGATGCTTGAAGTTGCTCTGCTCTGCATACAAAGCAGGGCATCGGACCGACCATCCATCAGCGATGCACTGAAGCTCCTGTCAGGGTTGAAGCCACCAAGAAAATGACACCTGCGTAGGAGTAATACCAAGTCACCATAAAAGTCGAGTGTTTTGTCAAATAGCTAATATAGAATATTTGATTGCTTCTTATCTTCAGCATAAAAGTGCTTGCTGTTCTAAAAGCCCCCCAAACTATATTCTTGTGTATTCCTAGAGAATATAGCATGAGTGTCATACTTCTTTCTCTCCTCTGCATTAAGCAAATGAAATATCTTCCCAACTTGGTTATTTGCAATCAGGTGACATGAAACCCGAACAAATCTGTGTAACTGAGCAGAAAGAGTTGGTCATATTACATTCAGCAAAATCATCAAGCTCCCTGAGATCTGACTCTGCTGAATGCGAAGAAGATATGCACGAACAACTTAAACAGAGACCAGTAAACAAAACCGGGATCGTGTTGTTTCCACCAAAGTTTCCATCTATGAGGGAGATGGGAAATCAAACAACCCTCTTTCTGGAAATGTTTGGCCTGGAGGGCAAGGACAGGATTCAGTTTCAAAATACAGAATGAGAAACACTCTTCTTCTCTGTTTTGGGCCGCATTGTTGGTTGAATATGGGACTCAGATGTTCATCATCATGCAGTTTCTGGTCTGAATTGTCAGTCCATTGCACATTCCTTACCATTTTGGCGATTTCATCTCATGAGAGGAAGGTAAACGAGAGAGCAAAGGAATGATTTTGCTGAAACAAGTTCATGATTTCTTCTTGGGCCAAATTTGAATCCATACAGATCACCAAGTAGCTCAGCCTCAGCTCAATTCAAGGTTGTTTCTTGCGCTCTTGGAGTTTCAGGGTAAGCGCCTCCACAACACCCCCGAAGCTCTCAAACTTGTGGCCCACCACGTCCACCCCGACCCCGAGCCTCTCCGCTCCCGCCGCCGTCACCGGGCCGTGCGCCACCACCAGCAGGTCCGGCCACCTCCTCCGCACGTCCTCCCACTCCCACCCAAAACCCGCCTTCAGGCTCTTCAGGAGGCCCTCCACTTCTCCGCTGCTGGTGAAAAGGATCGCGTCCAGCCCCTCGCCCTCCGCCCTGCTCGCGATCGCCCCCGCGCAATCCTCCCCCAGCCACCGCGTCTCGTACGCCCCGACCCTGACCGCCGCCCAGCCGTTCGCCTCCAGGTCGGCGATGAACTCCGGCACCACCGGCGGCTCCTCGATCCCGACCACCAGGGGGACCGGGCAGAGGATCGTCCTCCGGTCGCCTCGCCCGAGCGCGCCCACGAGCCCCCGGGGGCTCGCGACTCGGGGGACCAGGGTCTCGATCCGTCTCGGGTCGGGGCAGATCCTGGACAGGAGGTCGGCGTCCTTGCCGAGGGCCGCGACGATGAAGGCGCCGCCGCGGCCGCCGTGGGGGGCCAAGAGCGGGGCCCGGATGCCGGCGGTGGCGGCGGAGAAGGCGGCGATGCCGGCGCGGGAGGTGAAGGCGACGGCGGAGAAGGGCTCGAGCGCCGGCGGCAGGAGGTGGGACCGGAGGGAGGAGATGGTCTGCGGGGTCGGACCCACGGAGAGGGTGGGGCACCAGAGCGGGGCGTGGCCTTCGACGGCGAGGAGGCGAGAGAGCCTCCCCGCGTAGTTCTGCGGCGTCGTGAAGGCCACGGTGGCGGGCGGCGGAGGAGGCGGAGGAGGAGCGGCGGCGGCGGCGGCGGCGGCGGTTGTCATGGCAGACGACGATAACGCGGCCATCGAAGCGTGAAATCATTGGCCAATCATTTGCACGTCTTTAGTGGTGGTGATGGTGTGTCCGGGCTTTTGGATCACGGCTGATGTCGGGTCGGATCGGGTCGGGTCATGTCGGGTTGCGAATCGGGTATTGCCAGTCTTTGTAGGAGGATGCTCGGCTGGACTAGTTCGCACGCACTGCTAAGTTGGAAATTTCCCGACACCCCAAGCGACCGTGCCAATCATGAAAGTTGTGATCGGCTTACTTAATAATGCTTGAAAAGTTTATTGCATTATCTTATTTATTCTGAAAGCGTATTTCACATATATTTCAATCGGCTTTCTAGGCTGACACGTCGAATTTTACCAAAAGGTTTGTTTGATTGCTTCACGTGCAAGTCAACCACGTCTCGTTAATAGAAAGACGATCCGATAGTAAAATAGAAAAGTAATTTATCGGAAGATTTTCGAAAAGGGGTGCCTCTATGCCAAAGCGAAGTAACACCAAGGTGAGGCATAATTTGTTTTGTGATCTTTTCTTCAGCGACAAGTTTAATACACGTAATCTCTTTTTTTTCTTGTTCTTTTTTTTTTTTGGTAGTACCTTCTTCTTTTTCTTTTTCATGTTGTTTGCTTACCAGAATATGTTCCTAACTTGCTCCTTAAAAAAGCACTACACACCCAATTCATGTATTTTCTCTGACGGAAGACTAGATAAATAATAATAATAATAATAATTTCGCAATTCATGTATTTTCTCTGACTGGATACTCGATATATATATTATTATTATTGTTGTTATTATTATTATTATTATTATTATTTATGTTTTGCGGAACATAGTTTTGAGGGAAAATTTCAATTAAGAACCCCAAGTGGGGTCAAATTCTCAAAAAAGGGTCCAAAGTGAACATAGTATCAAATAAGGGCCTGAAGTGCTCAATTAGTCTCAAATAAGGACCCAAAGTGCCCAAAAAGTCTCAAATAAGGACTTGGGTCGCCGGCCGGCCAAAATATCTGCCGGCCGGCAAGAATGTTACTGTTCCGGCACTGGAACAGTAACTTTTTAATTTTTTTATTATTATTTTCTTTATGTTTTTCCTTTTCTGTTTGTTTTCTTTTCCTTTTCCTTTTCTTTTTTTTTTCTTCTCTTCCTCCGTGGCCTCAGGCGAGGCCGCCCTCGCCGGCCTCGGTTGAGGGCCGCCCTCGCCCGGGCCGGGCGAGGACGGCCTCGCCGGCCGCCGGGCGAGGCTCGACCTCGCCCTCACTCCGTAACCGGCCGTGCTCGACCTCACCGTTGCTGGGCGAGGTCGAGCCTCGCCAGTTGCCGGCGAGGTCGAGCCTCGCTAGATCTGGCGAGGGCTCGGCCCCGCCGGCTGGCGAGGCTCGACCTCGCCGGCATCGGGCGAGGCCGGCGAGGTCGAGCCCTCGCCAGATCTGGCGAGGCTCAACCTTGCCGGGCAACTAGCGAGGCTAACCTCGCCCAGCCCAAGCGAGGCCGCCCTCGCCAGTTGTCTGCGAGGTCGGCCTCGCCGGATCCAGTGAGGCTCGGCCCGCCGGCCGGGCGGGCCGACCTCGCAAACAAGCGAGCGGCGGCCTCGCTTGGGGCCGGGCGAGTCGGCCTCGCCCGGTTGCCGGCAAGGTTGAGCCTCGCCGATCTGGCGAGGGCTCGACCTCGCCGGCCTCGCCCGATGCCGGCGAGGTCGAGCCTCGCCCGCGGGGCTGAGCCCTCGCCAGATCTAGCGAGGCTCGACCTCGCCGGCAACCGGGCGAGGCTCGACCTCGCCCGAAGAACGGCGAGGTCGAGCCCGGCCGCCCGGTGAGGGCGAGGTCGAGCCTCGCCAGCTGTCGGCGAGGCCGACCTCGCCCAGCCCAGGCGAGGGCGGCCCTCGACCGAGGCCGGCGAGGGCGGCCTCGCTTGAGGCCACGAAGGAAGAGAAGAAAAAAAAAGTAAAGGAAAAGGAAAAGAAAACAAACAGAAAAGGAAAAACAGAAAGAAAATAATAAAAAAAAATTAAAAAGTTACTGTTCCGGTGCCGGAATAGTAACATTCTTGCCGGCCGGCAGGTATTTTGGCCCGCCGATGACCCAGGTCCTTATTTGAGATTTTTTGGGCATTTCGGGTCCTTATTTGAGACTGATTGGGCACTTCAGGCCTTTATTTGACACTATATTCACTTTGGACCCTTTTTTGAGAATTTGACCCCACTTGGGGTCCTTAATTGAAATTTTCCCAATTTGAGAGCGAGAAGGTGAGAGAGTCTCTGCGCATGGTTTTGCAGCCTCGTGAAGGCCACGGTGGTGGACGAAGGAGGAGTGGCGGTGGTCGTGGCGAAGGCGGCCATTGCAGATGATGATAATGTGGCCATCGGCCAATCATTTGCATGTCTTCAGTGGTGATTGATGGTTTTGTTGGGCTTGATTCGCGACTGACATGTCGTGGGATTGGATCGCTTCATAATGAGTTCAAATCTCGTATTCCTAGTTATCTAACAAGCTATATCATCATATGGATTTGGACATAAACACTTGATATGTTCGCATATAGCATAATGTCAAGTTGTCTATTTGGGCCTCTAATTGGGCATTGACGGTAGGGATGAGCACGGGTCTAGGGTAGAACGGTTCGGTTCTTCGGTTCTCGATTCTAGGGAAAGAGGTTCTAGTTCCCGGAATCGGAAAGCGAAACTGAAACCGGGAACCAGAACCGAGAACTGGGAATAGAACCGGGAATCGAAAACCCTAAATCTAAAATCATAATTTTCTTACTACTCCTCACTTCTCACTTCTTAGCTCTCAAATTATCATCTTTGTTCGCATGCTCATTGCTTTGCTTAACTTGTCATGTAGAACATTTTCTAAGGTTTGTTTAGACCTTCAATTTAAGTGGTTTTGGAGTACCCATCATTCGCATGCTCATTACTTTGCTTAACTTGTTATGTTTGGGTATTCATTGTCATGTATCTATGCCAAGTTTTTGTTCTTTAGTAAGGTCGATTGTTTTCATCATTCTCTTTCAAAAAATATCTTAAGCTTGATAGTTGCATAGTTAAAACCATGGTGATAATGGATGGTGGAAGAAGAAAAGAAAAAGTTGTAGTTGCAGTTGTAGTTGTAATTGCAAATAATCGATACGCGACACTTCAATTTTTAATTTAAAACTATTATCAAGTTATCAACTATTATTGTTGTTTCTTTTGATTTTAGGTGGTCAAAATTTGGAACAAATTGTCATGAATGTTTAAGGACCAAAAGCTTATCTTTCTTTCCTTTTTCCTACTTCCCATTTTGTTTGTGGTCCTAGATATGGATATTGTCTTGATCGACATGCTAATCCCTCGTGAATTCTGTTGCGTATCGATTCACGCAATGACTTCTCATTTTAATTATATTTATCTGAACCATAATGCCAGGAAAACTAGTATTTTGTATTCTCTTTGATGAATTATAAGCTTGTTCGGTATTATTACGTTCATTTTCGTTTTGTTTGACTAAAAATGAAAAAAACAAAAAAAAGAACCTGTTGAATCTTGAAATCGACCGTGGAACTTGTGACAGGGTAAGTTCTAGGTTCCAAGTTCCGACGGGGTAGGTTCCAGGTTCCAAAAAATAAGGAACATGTATCCGAGGTTAGGTTTCAGGTTCTAGGTGAAACCTGTAAGGAACCTGAAACAGCTCACCTCTAATTGACGGTCTTATTAGTGCATTCTCATTGTTGTGTTGCATCTTCTTCTTCTTCTTCTTTTTGTCGTTAAAACTAACACTCGTCCTAGGAGTGAGCATCAATCCCGATTCTACCTAGAAAATGCCCTGGACAGGATTGAACCGATCAATTCTAGGTGGTTCCTGTGAGAAACGGTTCGGTTCCTAGTTTCATAAATTTGGAACCGGCAATAATCGATCTAGTTCCCAGTTCAGCACTAGGAACCGGACCGACTAAATCGGGTCTGTATGTTTTGTTTTTTCTTCCTCTTTTAGTAAAGCTGCACTGGGGGTAAAGGCAAAACCCTAATTTTTTTTTGGTCGAAAGAAAAACTCTAATTGAAAGGTTTTGACCGAGTCAATTGTAGGTATTGTTTCTTCAATGTCTCCACATTACATAAGTTTCTTGAACTAAATTTAAACTTTCTGCTAGTTTTTTGGATTGATTTCTATTAAAAGGTAAAAGCAGAAGTGTTCATCAGCATTGCTGGGGGAACTTGAGCTCATCGCTCTCACAATTAGCAGGAGATTCTGCTTTGCTCTTTGCTCTTTGACCATCGCTTCAAGTTCTCAAAGAGACCTCGCAATCTTCGCCAACCTTGATGCATTCTTGTTCTGTTGCTTTGCTCCCTGGAGCTTCTTCCTCATGTTTATGGTTAAATTATGTTTTGAGTTTGAGCCCGTAAAGGGAGATGAATTATAGTAAAGCACAAAGTTGATTTTTTAGATGCACAGCGATCAAGTGCAGATTTTCAATTTGGGTAACTTGTGGACACGGAATATTCCCTTGAGAAGTGGGAATTGGCTAAGGGAAAAGTAATGAAAAAAAGAAAAGTCCCAATTTGGACTTTATTTCTTAATTCCACTTGGCGTGGACTTACCACATATTCCAATATTGGGCTTCTTCCATGAGCGGTGGTGTGTGTAGAGAGAGAGAGAGAGAGAGAGAGAGATAGTTCCGGGATTCCTTGTAGAGAGGTTGAAGCGCTACTACACGAGTGCTTGGTAGTGAGTTTTCTCCGTGGGTTTTGTTCATAAAATTACGCTAAGAATTCAAGTGTTAAGTTCAATTAAATCTTTTGAGTAAGATTTGTAAATTTCCTGATGAAATTGAGAGATTATTCGTGAGATATAATGGGGCTAAACACTGTATGACTTATCGAGTGTAATTAGAGGTTAGGAAACAGTAAGAGTGTTTGAGTTATTCAAGTGTAGTTGTAATCTCCATGATATCGTTTGATTTATAGTGAAATTTTTTGTTACTCTCCCCGTAAATGTAAGTCACTCCGATCGAACCACGTAAATCTTGTGTCTGATTTATTTTCTTCCTCGGTATATTGTATTGTTTTTTTTTTTCGAAAAAAATTGTATTAATTGCTCAAAATGATACATGAGAAATACAGTGACTTCAATGACA